AAAGCTCAAGTCGCTATACATACTCGAGAACATCATGTATAAACGAAATAACCTTTTTACAAAAAAAAAGTAACACAACGCTTCGGGGCCACACTGGAAATATCGAGGCTTAGACTAGCTAAACCCAGAAAATCGTTTCTTGGTAAATGTATATAGGTACTTATATAATAAAATAAAAAAGAACCGAATTCTAAAAACTCTATTATCACTAAAAAGTTTAAAATAATACTAAATTTAATAGAATAAAATCTGACCTATATAACCTAACCTAAATAGATAACCTAAATTTTGTTAGAGGTTACCTAACCTACCGTTAGGTAACCGTAACCTTCGTATCTTCAAAAGAAGAGATAAATGAAATTTTGAAAAATCCTTTTTTTCCTTCCAAATACGGTCGGTCGGTCGGTCGGTCGGTCGGTCGGTCGGTCGGAGTTGTCGTAGTTAGGAGTTTTGTCGAGTTTTGCCCGAGTTTTGACCAGGGCCCTTGTTTTCTAAAGTATTTTATTTTCTATTTTGTTTTTATGTTAACTCTAATGTTCCTGACGATTTTACTTTTTGTACACTTTTCTTTACTTTTTTATTCCTGTGTTGCTTCTTCATGTACTTTATTTCTTATGGGTCTCTTGATTTTATTATATTTATTTTATTTCCTTGGACACTTCTTCCTTGAGATTTTTCTTCTATGTTTATTTATTTAATCTTATGTTTTGTATCTGTGATATCTTCTTTTACTTAATTTTGCTTCGTTTTCCTACTAAAATTGTGTCTCCATACATATTATGTATGTGCACAATTTTATATTTAACACTTCTTTTGTATTACTGTTTCTCTATTTTATCCAGATATATATGCTTCTCAGTACTTGTTTTTCTTGTACTTGCTTGTCTAGTCACTCGTTGTTGTTTACTACGTGTCTCCAGACCTGCTCCTGTTGGATCCCGGTTTCTTATCCAAAACGCACCTGACGCGTCCGAGTGTCGGCTTGATATCCTGCCACTGAAAGCCAAGTTCTTCAAGGCGCCATTCGTATTTGCCCTGCTTAATTTTATGGAATATCTTTTTCGTCCGGCACTTTGAAGTTTTCCTGTTGAGGCATGATATCTTCCTTTTAAGGTCAGGCTTGCAGGTCCCTTGGAGGCCACCTTAGCAGTATGCCACGGATGACCTTGCCAAGGCATCCCACTTTTTTCTAACTGGACAATCAGCGTTGAATGCGTTGTGGTCCCTACGTTCGTACTTGTCTTTGGTGCAATTTTTGCATATAGGTGTTTCGCCCGCGATCCAATCTGGACACTCCACCCTGAGGCCCACACCTCAGTGACTGCAAGTATCTATCTGCTCGGTGCAGAGTCTTTTTGTGTGCCCATACCCCAGGCACCTGGAGCATTGAATTAATGGAGATTGGGTTAGGTTAGGTTAGGTTAGGTTAGGTTAGTTTTTTTTTTTTTTTTTTATACTTATCCCCCCTGTGACATGTGAGATCAGGGCCCTTGTTTTCTTTCTTTTTTTGTATCTTTCCAGTTTATAAAGTTTATTGCATAGGTACTTATTTTCTTCATTCTTTTTTGCTTTTTACAATGATTCTTTCTTTACATTTTTGTTCTTATTTTCTACATACATTTTCAACAACGTTGTGTGTTGTGTACTATTACTGCTTACATTTTACTTAGTACAGTTGTTACATACTTATTTTATTATTTCTTTTTGCTTTTTTGCAGTGATTCTTACATTCTATTTCTTTCCTTACTTTAAAGATCAATTTACATTTATTTATATTTTTAATAAGCCTCCTTACATCTATCTTATTTTCTAATTGCATTTATATTTATTAATACTTAATTAGTTACCATCTTTACTCTAGTTTCATATACTATCTATTTAGTATAACTATACTTTATCTATTTGTTTTATTATTTTAACAATCTCTTAAATGTTATGAGAGCTTATGTTCTACTTTGCTTGTGTTTTACGCTAGACCACTTACACCTTACTTTACATTGTTTTTCTTACTATTTAATTTTCTTAATATTTTCCCGGTATTGAGGTTCATACACTAAAGTATTAAGTCAATACAACTGTTTTCCTACTTATTTTGTGCGCCATTCTAGGTTGTGAGCAAGAGCGTTGGTTGTTTTTAATATGCGATGGTATATTATATTCTATTTATTTTTGATCTTTATTTTGGTTACAATGTATTTACAAAAAGCTAAGAAGTCGTCTCTGGTATTTTTCTGATTTATAAGTTCACATAGTGCACTTGTTTCGATTTTCGTTTCTGTTTTTACTTCGAGGTAGGCTCTTTCTTTGCCGAATACCGGACAGTTTACTATTAAATGAGTAATACTTTGCGACTCCTCCGCACCGCAGTCACATTCAGGACTATCCCTGCAATGAAACCGGTGCAGATAATCCGCAAATCCGCCATGACCTGTCAGCGCCTGTACCAATAGAGGGTCCATTTGTATTTTGCGGACAATGTGGTATGCGTTTTCCGCGTCGGGCAGGAACAGCTTTGTTGTCTTTGCGGTTTCTCCCTCTTTGTACCTCCGGTTCCATTCCTCAACAGACTCCTGACGGATTTGTCTCTTGACGAACGAGACCGGACATACGTCGTAGTCCGGTCGTTTTTTACATCGTAATGCGGCTTCCTTTGCTAATTCATCTGCTCTTTCGTTTCCCTCCACTCCCACGTGTGCTTTTACCCAATAGAGGGCAAGGGTACCGCCCTGATTTTTCAGGTTTGCGATGTTTTCCCTTGCCTCTACCGCCATGGGGTGAAGGGAATCGCCGCGACTGATGGTGATCAGAGCAGATATAGAGTCGCTGTAAATGTTGCAGCTTCGTGCAGGTTCCCTAGTCGCCACTTTCGTGGCTTCTAACAGGGCTAGTAATTCCGCCTGGTAAACGGTGCAGAAATTACCCAACTTAAGTTTTTTGTTACTTTTCCGCATCACCATCCCATATGGATAGTGCTGCGCCAACTTTCCCATCAATTTTGCTCCCGTCCGTAAAAATGTTCCGGTCTGCGGTTCTTAGCTGTTGGGGCCTCTCTGCACCGTCCGCCAGACATATGAATTCCAATCCTGTTTGCTTTGCCGGGTGTGATGTTTTGGCAAAGGCGACGGGCCGTTCCAAGTCCCGGTCCCCTATGATTCGCCGGGAATGACCTCTCTTTATCTCATAAGTGAGTGAGGCTGCTTCCCGGACCCTAAGGTCTAGAGGAAGCAACCCGGCGAGTATAAGAACCGAGTTCAAGGATACGGTTCTGTACGCCTTGACGATCTTCTGCACGAAGCCGCGTTGCACCAGATTTAGTTAGTTGTTTTTTCGCTTTGACCTTATTGGTCTCTGGTGCCCAAGCGCTTGCCGCATATAGAATAACCGGTTCTATAACTGCTGTGTATATTACCCTGACGATCTCCGGGTTCAGCCCCCAACTTATTTTTGCCGCCTTAGATAACTGCTTATATATATTCTGAGCCTTACAGCAGACGTTTCTTTATATGACTATTGAACGTCAATTTGGCGTCTATTGTAAGGCCCAAAATTTTTATTTCCTGCGACATTTTGATATTCTCCCCACCCATGCGCAGAGATGGGGTGTCATGTTTCAGTTTATTGGTTATTAACATTGCCTGTGTTTTGTGTGGCGCAAATTTGAGCTTATTTTTAAACACCCCCCAGCTCTGAACCTGGGCAAGGATAATGTTTGCCCGTTCCTGTATTTCAAGGGCTGTATCTCCGGAAATCACCAGCGCGACATCGTCTGCGAACGCCTGACAATACTCCCCCCTTCCGCTCAACTCCTCCAGAAGCGGGTTCAGTAGCAGGTTCCAAAGCGTGGGACCGCCTATAGAGCCCTGCACGCACCCCTTTGTGGTCCTTTTATGCCATTCTGCTCCAGCATACCTGACTCGTACCGTCCTATCCTTCAGATAGCAATCGACCATACGCCTCAGGTTCACCGGGCATTTTGTCTCCGCCAGCCTGCATCTTATTGCCGGCCACCATGCATTGTCGAAGGCACCCTCTATGTCTAATGAAATGAGTACAATGAGTTTCTTTTTTTTTTCTTAGTTCTTGCTTTAATAATTTCATCAGTCATAGAGGGCGTCCTCGGCGCCGCGCTGCGGCAGAAAGCCGTATTGTTTTCTGCTGATGGCCGGTACGGTATGCCATCGAATCCTCCTCATTAACATTTTTTCCACTATCTTACCCAGGACTGGCAGAAGACCAATTGGTCTGTATGACTTGGGGTGCGTGTAGTCCTCTTTTCCCGGCTTCCGCAAAAATACCACCACCGCCTCTTTCCATTTCGAGGGGAAGTGGGCAAGGCGGAGGCATGCATTCGCGAATGCCAGGAATAAGTCGGTACACAGGGTGATGGCTGTTTGGCATATGTCTGCAGTGAGTCCGTCTACGCCAGGGGCCTTCTTGGGGTTGAAGCTAGACACAGACCACGCCAGCTCCTCCGCCGTAAATGGTGGGTCCCATAGTTCATCATGTGATCCTACATTTAACTCCTTGGCTGCTTCTCTCAATTGTATATGGTCTGTGTCGTCGCTTTCTGGGCTGTCTTCCGGATAGAAGGTATTTGCCAGGACCCTGGCCGACTCTTCTCTACCCAGGATTTTTCCCCCGCAGACAAGAGGTAGTTCTTCATCCCAACTTGTTGTCCTGCCTATCACCCTGTATATACCGTCCCACATACTTTCTCGCTCTTGCTGGGTGCAGAATTGCTTCCAACTGGAGGTTTGAGCCCTCCTTACCTCAAGTTGGTATTTGGACTTCGCATCAACATACTGCTCGACCACCCACGCCCTTCGGATTGGCGCCGCATACGAGATGCGGCGTTTTAGCCTACACGCCTGTTTTTTAAGCTTTGTTAACTCCTCATTCCACCACGGCAGTTCTTTTCGCCTTCCTCCCTTTAGCCTGGGTATACAGGCCTCACAGACGTCTTCTATGGCTTTTGTATATAATTTTAGGTATGTATCTAAAGTTTCTGTGTCGTTTATTTTATGGATCTCACTTGTTTTGATGTTGTTTTCTAGCCAATACTGGAGGAGTTTCTCACGAAACTCACTCCAGTTTGCCTTTTTTGTATTATATACTCTGGTTGTTCTTTTGACGTCTGTGCCGGTCGACCTCTCCAGGCTAACCTCAAAGAAGATTGTTCTGTGGTCAGAACTGGTGATATCGTCCGAAAGTCTCCATCCAGCTATTTTGGGGATCAGGTCCGTCGAGCAAGCAGTTATGTCCACGCAGCTGGTATATCTTGTTCTCCCCCTTATAGTATCAAAGGTGGGCTCATTCCCCCAGTTTATTATGTGGAGATCCTGCTCGTCCAGCGCTGCTGCCACTTCTACGCCCCTCCTGTTTGTCTTTTGACTGCCCCACCACGTGTTCCAGGCATTGAAATCTCCGCCGAGCAGCACGTGCTTAGTCCCTAGGCTCTCCAAGGCTGCCTTTATGGCATCCAGATAAGGTTCAACGGGCTTGTCAGGTTCCAGATATACCGAAACCACCCCCACCTCCCAGGACCCGGTCCTCAGCATTGCTACTGCGATGTTCTCTGTTGTGTGTTCCGGGAACTGGGTGATGTTGATGGTGTCGTCGAATAGTGCAATTGCGGCCTTGACGACCTTTCCCGGTGCTCGGCCGCCGCTACGTTGCACCACCCTTGTACCTGGATACTGCCTCATCTCTCCTATTCTACCAATGTATGGTTCCTGGAGAAGAGCAAACGCAATTCTGCGTTTTGTAGCCTCCGTAATTAATTCTGCCGTTGTAATCTCACTCCGTTGGAGATTTGCCTGTATTACACGATACTTGTAGTTGCCTGGACCCCCTAGCGCAACCTTAGCAGTAGGCTACCGCCGATCTTGCCAAGAGTTCCCACTTTCTTTTTACAGGACAGTCCGCGCTAAATGCGTTGTGGTCGTCCCGATCTATCTTTGCCCTCGTGCAGTTTCTGCAGGAAGGCGTTCCACCTGCGAGCCACATTTCGCATTTTTCCCTGAGATGTGGGCCCCCGCAGTGGCTGCACACGTCTATGGTTTCGGTGCACAGCCTCTTCGTGTGCCCATATCCCAGGCATCTTGTGCACTGGATAAGGGGGGATTGGTCCTCCACGGCGACACGTTGCATATCCACGTGCACCACGCCTGCCTCGGTTAGTTTCTTCCATACGCGAGGCGACACTTTCACCACTATGTGTGACATAAGTGGGTTTCGTGCTCGCCTTCTGTATTTAACCTCAAGCCGAATTTCCTCTTCCGGAATACCTTTCAGCAGGTGCTTATTTTGTGTCTTTATGGCCCCAAGGATGTCGTCATCCGTGTTATATTGCATGACACCCCTGAGAACCACAAGTGGATCTTTACTTTTTACGTCATCGACGTTAAGTCTTGCACCCGCCTTTTCGATTCTTTCCTTCACCCTTTCCAGTTCTGCGCGCGTACTGCATCCAATTATTACCTTTCTGTCCTTTACTTTTTTTACCCTGTCCACCTTTATCCCTTCTTCCTTGGCGTTAATGGCTAATCGGATCTTCTCTATTACCTCCTCGCCCGTATCTTTCTCGTCTTGAGATGTAATGGCCACCGCATGAACAGCTGTATTTCTTAGTGGTTGCCTGCCGGCTGCCACATTCGCGTATGACGCCCTCTCTTCACTGGTTCCTCTCTCCTTCACCAATTCCCGAAACCTCTCCATCTCCTTTCTATTTTCTTCCAGCAATTTTGAATGTTCCTCTAGTTTCTGTAGTAACTTACCTTCCTCCTCATTTTTTCTAGTGTCTGTTGCTTCTATTTTTTCGGAATTATCCATCAATATCTCTTGTCTATCGCACATGTAACCCTTCTCTTTTTCCGTTGTCCTTTCCAGTTCTGCCTCCTTAACCAGACTGTACAGTTTTTCAACTGCTTGCATTACCTCAAGTTTAATATCTGTCTTGAGGTTTCGGGAATTGTTTAAGTGGAGTTTTGCCTTATGGAGGCTGGCCCGTGCCTCTGCCACTCGGTCTCTTTTTTTGTGAGGTTCTGCACGGGGCAGATTATTCTCATCCTCACCCTCAAGTAGCTTTTCGGATGTTGTGGCCTTCACTGGCTGGGAGAGTGCCATTCTCTTCGGGCGGGCCGCCGCTACCGTTTGCCTTGTGCCCTGACTCTCTTTATTTCCTTCCTCTCCCCTGCGTTCTTGTTCCCACTCTCCAATACTACGTCTAACGCTGATGTTAGCCCCTTTTGTTTTTGGAGAAGGTCCTGCCCTCTCCCCTCCGCTCGGGGGGGTCCTAATTTTTGTTTCGTTTTCTGCGCTTTTCGCGGGGGTACGGAAGCCGAACATGTCGTAGGGGAAGTGTCACGTATAAAAGTATATATTTTTAAAAAATATAAAAACTGTAAATAATATAAAATAAAATAGGGAAGTATAATCTGAATGTCAATGTTGGTCAATTTATAAGAATTATAATATCAATCTGTATGTATAAGGTACAGGTCGATACAAGTCTTACGCCCTGCGTGTGGATTTCGATATGACGGAAAACAAAATGGCCGCCGATCTCTTTGGTCACTTGGTCAATAGTAGGGCTGGTCAAGTTATTCAGTTTATTGAAAACCGCGTCTAAATCGGGCCACTATTTACGGAGATATGGCCTACCGAAAATTTTCAAGATGGCGGCAAAGATGGCGTCGACAATCTTTAAACGTCTACAACTTCGGCCGTTTTTGTCCCAGAGCTACGGGGTTTTCGCCTATGTCATTAACAGCTCTTTTCCTCCCTATTTTAAGGTAAAGAGGGGTCTCTAATTTGGACTCTATGTAGAGTCACTTTTTTGCTTTTTTAGGTAACTCTCAATTAGGCTTTTATGAGGTCGAAAACCGCATCTCTATTCGACATTCCAGTCAAAAGTTACAGTCAATTCAATTTTGTCAATATGGCCGCCAAA